CTGCTTGCTCAGTTTGCCCAACATATTGCATATTGCATTTTTACAAGTAATCAGGTAAACCATATTTTAGTTTGCAAGTTTGTATTGTCATGCCGTATGGTTCCTATTTCTTAATCAAGGGGGGTGCTGTTTCGGCCTGTATTGACAAGGAAACAAATGAAACAATTTACTTGATAGAAGGAAAAAGCAACACAACTTCTTGGCGCAAACCAATGGAGGTATATTCAATGTGCGCGTGCGTATCCGGATAAGTAAATTTTAGGAGGCCCGAAAAGAAAAAAATAAGTCGTTAAGAATTATAGCATGACATTAAGTTTTCCATGTTGCAATGGATGAATAGGGTGAATGAAAATGAGAAAATGTGGGAAAGTGAATTGGACAACTATATAGGACATGTACATATATGATATAACAAATTGACAAAAGTACAGGGAATTTAGACCTTTTTACACTACGATTTTGCACTACGATATTATTTACATACTGCCTTATCCAAGTTGCCAACACGACTATAAATACAGTTATATTCCCATTGCTTACATACTGTAATCATGCAACTGACAGACGCTGTGCATATCGTTATATCCCACTTGCCGACAGAAGCCTTATAAAATGTTATTTCCCACTTGCAGACAGAAGCTATACATACCTATAAATTCAACTTGCCAAAAGAAGCTCTATTTTTATCGTTATTTTGGCCGTCTGAAGCTATACTTATCGTTATATTAATTTTAGCCGAAAGAAGCTATATATACCGTTATATTTAACTTGCCGACCGAATTATACATATCGTTATACTCAACTTGCCGACAAAAGCCATATATACTGTTATATCCAACTTGCTGACATAAGCTATATATACCATAACATCCTTCTTGCTGACAGAAGCTAGGCATATCATTTTATTCAACTTGCAGATAGAAGCTATATAAGATGTTACATCCAACTTGCCGACATAAACTATATATACCGTTATACACAAGCTATGCATACTGTCATAAGAAGCTATATATATATCGTGATATTCAACTTGCCGACAGGTGATATACATACAACCTTTATATTCCACTTAACGTTTAGCTTGCACATATTACCGTTATATCCAATTATCCGACACAAATCTCTGTTTAGAAGTTACCACTAACATGTGCTGTATGATAACAGTTGTCATATTAGCGTGCTGTGTGATAACAGTAACCAACAGTGTGCTGTGTGATGACAGTAACCATAAAAGTGTACTGTATTATAACAGTAACCATAAAAGTGCAATGTATTATAACAGTAGCCATAAAAAGGTACTGTATGACAACAGTAACCATAAAAGTGTGCTATATGACAACAGTTACCATAAAAGTGTGCTGTATGATAACATTGACCATAAAAGTGTGCTGTATGATAACAGTTACAAATAAATGTGCTATATGACAACAGTGATAATAAAAGTGTGATGTATGATAACAGTGACCATAAAATTGTGCTGTATGATAACAGTTACGATAAAAATGTGCTACATGAAAACAGTGACAATAAAAGTGTGATGTATGATAACAGTAACCATAAAAGTGTGAGTGCTGTGTGATGACAGTAACCATAAAAGTGTACGGTATTATAACAGTAACCATAAAAGTTAAAAGTGTGCTGTATGACAACAGTAACCATAAAGGTGTGCTGTATGACAACAGTGACAATAAAAGTGTGATGTATGATAACAGTGACCATAAAAGAGTGCTGTATGATAACAGTTACCATAAAAGTGTGCTGTATGAAAACAGTGACAGTATGATAACAGTGACCATAAAAGTGTGCTGTATGATAACAGTTACAATAAAAGTGTGGTGTATGATACCAGTAACCATAAAAGTGTGGTGTATGATAACAGTTACAATAAAAGTGTGGTGTACGATAACAGTAACCATAAAAGTGTGCTGTATGACAACAGTGACAATAAAAGTGTGATGTATGATAACAGTGACCATAAAAGAGTGTTGTATGATAACAGTTACCATAAAAGTGTGCTGTATGAAAACACTGACGGTATGATAACAGTGACCATAAAAGTGTGTGTATGATAACAGTGACCATAAAAGTGTGCTTTATGATAACAGTTACAATAAAAGTGTGGTGTATGATACCAGTAACCATAAAAGTGTTGTGTATGATAACAGTTACAATAAAAGTGTGGTGTAGGATAACAGTCACAATAAAAGTGTGCTGTATGATAACAGTAAAAAAAACGTGGTCTATGATAATAGTGACCATAAAAGTGTGCTGTACGATAACAGTTACAATACAAGTGTGGTGTATGATAACAGTTACAATAAAAGTGTGGTGTACGATAACAGTGACAATAAAAATGTGATATATGATAACAGTTACAATAAAAAGTGTGCAGTATGATAACAGTGACCATAAAATTGTGCTCTATAAAAGTGACATTGACAAGAAAAGTGTGATGTATGATAACAGTGACAATAAAAATGTGCTGCATGATAACAGTGACCATAAAAGTGTGCTGTATTTTAACAGTAACAATAAAACAGTGATGTATGATAACAGTAACCATAAAAGTAAAAAGTGTGCTGTATGACAACAGTAACCATAAAAGTGTGCTGTATGATAACATTGACCATAAAAGTGTGCTGTATGATAACAGTAACAATAAAGTGTGTGTATGATAACAGTGACAATAAAAGTGTGATGCATGATAACAGTGACCATAAAAGAGTGCTGTATGATAGCAGTTACCATAAAAGTTTGCTGTATGAAAACAGTGCAAATAAAAGTGTGATGTATGATAACAGTGACCATAAAAGTGTGCTGTATGATAACAGTGACAATAAATGTGTGCTGTATAATAAAAGTGACAATAAAAGTGTGATGCATGATAACAGTTACCATAAAAGTGTGCTGTATGAAAACAGTGACAGTATGATAAAAGTGACCATAAAAGTGTGTGTATGATAACAGTGACAATAAATGTGTGCTGTATAATAAAAGTGACACTAAAAGTGTGATTTATGATAACAGTGATAATAAAAGTGTGATTATGATAACAGTTACCATAAAAGTGTGCTGTATGATAACAGTTACAATACAAATGTGGTGTATGATAACAGTGACACTTGTTAAGTTTCATTAAAATATTTTCACTATTTTGAGTCTATTTGTTGCCACAACAACCGATATTTTTCAACATAGGAAGAAGAAAAGGAGATATTATTTCCAGACTACCATCTACCCATATTTTAAGTTAAAATATTTTTTGGTACATTTTGCGTTATCATGGATCCAGTTTTGTGAACGGACATTATTGTAAATTTTAACCAAAAGAAAGAAAACTAGAAAAATAAAATTATCCATGCGGACGGCACTTACGAAACAAATTTTTGTTTGCCATTGTTGTTGTCTTTTTTGGTACACATGCGTTTCTGCTGGTTTTCTTTTACGAAAATAATTCATTATGCCGAAAGTAAGCAATCAACAGTGCCTTGAAACGTCTGATTATTCATACCGGCGTCAAAGGCCTCTAACAACTTTTGTTGTGCGGTGTTTATCAATGAAATTACATCATATAAGTATACTCAAGGGTGATCCTTCATTTGTGTACATTATTCTCAAATAACAAAAAGTTTTTTATGTAAATAATAAATGAGTAAGTATTTCCTATTTAAACGGGTTGTATAGTTAATTATAAAGTGTAAAACGTTGACAGTTCATTTCAAGACTTTTAACGAGCATGTTTAAGACACAAGACAGAAAGAAACCGTTCCGTTTAGTTGTAATTATAAAAGGTCCTGTCTGTTATAAATAAGGTTTTGGGGCGTCCGTGGCCGAGTGGTTAAGGTCGTTGACTTCAAACCACTTGCCCCTCACCGCTGTGGGTTCGAATCCCGACAGGGACTTTGGATTCTTTCATGTGGTCTTCCTCCACCAGTAAAGCTGGAACGTCGCGATATGACCTATACTGTGTCGATGTGACGTAAAACACAAAACAAAACAAAAATAAATAAGGTTGTTACCACACTAAAGTGAGATTTCATATATGTATATAATTATGCTTCTTAAACGATTTTCAAACATCGAAGAATATGTAAAATATGTACTGCAAATATTTGTCCACATTATATGTAATCATTAAAATATATGCATTCATTTCTGATTGAAAAAATAACTTAGGCTTTATAGGAAATAAATTTCAAATTACCGGTACCTCCCTCTATTTACATGAAATGGAAATTTGGTAATTTCTTTGCAAATAATGTTTTTTGAAACTTACAATATTGATAAACCTTCATTTGAGCATTATATTTATGATATAAAACCATAATAAATGAGTTAAAGGATCTTTAAAATTATTCAATAGTTATTTATCACTCGTATCATCCACGGGATTGATTGATGTGCATGTATCTTTTGACAAATTACACACAAATGTTATAAATTTCCGTTACATTATAGATACTGCGGCGCATTTTCAGATTTTCTTGAAGTTGCTTGTGACTTAAAACCTAGAAATATTGTAGATTTTCATTTAATATTTACCGCAAGATATTCGATTTGTTATATTTGCAAAATGGAAGGAATCGATTATAAACAAAAGAGACAATTTTCGTTTTTCTTAAACACTGTTATATTGTTAATATTTCTAGCAATGACAATGGTCTGGAAACGGAATTATCTACCATATCAAACAAACAAACAAGCAGAGATTTATGAAGTTTGTCGAAGCAATTTACGAAACAATAAACGAATTGAAAACGTCAGGAAGAATTGTTTGTATTCATTGATTTATAGAATTATTGCTGTTGACTTGAAAACTTTTAATCCCAAAAGGTTTCATAGTAGTACAGTCCCTGGGGACCGTTTGTATGCAAAAAAAGGTCCATGGATATAGTATTTGTTAGTATTCTAGTATATTATTTTCTCAGCCTTTCTAAAGATATCTCAATAATGTAGAATTCATTAAACAATAAAATATTTAAGCTTAAAACATAACAAACCTGTCCCTTGCCGTCTTTTGATCTCATCAACGTCTCTCTTCACATCAGTTACATTTGCCATTATGTCTTCAAGGTTTCTCTTCACTGCAGTATCATTTTCTGTTACGTCTTTTTTCACACCAGTTACATTTCCTTTTACGTCTTCAAGGTCTTTCTTCGCGTACGATGCATTTTCTTTCACGGCTATCATTTCATGTTTAAGACGGTCAACACCATCTTCATAGTCCTTCCACTTTTTTATTTCTTTCTGTATCCTTCTCTCTTCTTCCAGATCAAGAGGGCAAGTTTTGAATTCGGCAATTGTTTGCTGAATATTCAAAGCTGAAGAACTTTGACGCATAAGTATCTATAACCGGAATTAAATAACAACTTTATCATTTAAGTTTGGATGTTTGATCTTTTTAAGTGTTTATCAAAGATGTTGAACCAACAATTTATATGTTTATGAAAGTATTATACATGAAAAACAAAATGTACTGAACATGAATCATGATGGCTCTACTTATTATAAAGGCTCTTGATAACAAGGGCAAATTAACACTGTTTACTATAAATGGAAAACAGATATTAAGTCTTTATCTTTTACTGATATCACAAAGGTCATATCTGCATCTGAAATCGTGCAAATGTAAAAGCGTTTATGGGTTGTTATTACTGAGAAAATTTATTAGTAATTGAAGATTTAACTGGTGGCTATAAAAAGCTATAGGTGTGTTTGGAAGTAAGTGGTTTCTATGATAGTCAATGTTTGATTCCTCGATTAAAAATCAATAGTTTTTCTATGGAAAGTTTAATGGTAGCTAAGAAAATAAAAATGGTTCCTATGGAAATATGGAAAGTCACTGTATGCTCCGGAAAACAATAAATGCAATGAAAGGCAATAGCTTCTAAAGAAGTGACAGGTTGATAAAAAATTCATTTGATTTTGGAAATCACTGCTTGCTTAATTTTACATCAATAATTGACGAAAATTACTTGTTGCTAATAAACACAAGTTTTGTTTAGGAAAAAGAACGGCTGATATGGAATTGGCTTGTTGCTAAAGAATGGTTGTTTTTGAAGTCACTGGTTACTCTGGAAAGTCAGTGATACCTCATGAGATCACTAATTACTTTGGAAATTCAATTGCTGCTACAGAAATAACTGAAGAAAATAGTTGCTATCAAAGTCACTGATGGCTGTAAAGTAACGATTGTTGATCAACTGGTTGCTATTAAATTTAAGCACCAGTAAGAACAACCATGACCCCAAGGCATGGCAAATTTAACACCAGGGACGTCTTCTAAACCTTTTTTCCTGTAAAATATCTAAGATATCTCATTGACGCACTCAAAGTACAAGAAAACCTAAAAATTGTGACGCACTGAATGTACAGGGAACCTGAAATATTTAATCACTGAATGTACTGGAAGACCTGGAAATTTGGAAGCGCTGTAATGACTAGAAACATCAAAATTTGGTAACATTAAAAGTACTTAAAACCTAAAAATAGTAAAGAGTATTGCACTGTAGATACTGGGAACCCTTAAATCGTGGTTTTTTAATTACTTGAATCCTGAAAATACGAAAGCACTGAATGAACGGAAAACCTGAAAATTGTAAAACACTATAACGCATTTAAATTTACCGAAAACTGTGACATACTGGAATTATTGAAAATTGTGATGCACGAATAACTGGACACCTGAAAGTGTAACGCACTGAAATAATTGGTTATGAAAACTGCGAAGGACTGGAATATCTGATACTTGTGAATTATAACGCACTGAAATAACTTGAAATCGAAAATAAGAAAGAAAGAAATAGACACAAGAAAATCGTTAAACACTGAAAGGATTTGACAACTGAAACTCGTGAAACACTGAAAGTACATGACACCTGAAAATCGAGAAACACTAATGGTACTAGACACCTGTAAACCGTGAAACACTGAAGGAACTTGACACCTTAAAATCGTGAAACACTAGAGGTACTAGACACCTGAAAATCGTGAAACACTGAAAGAATTTGGCACCTGAAAATCGTGAAACACTTAAAGAACTTGGCACCTGTAAATCGTGAAACACTGAAAGCACTTGACACCTGAAATCGTTAAACACTGAAAGTACTTGACCCCTGAAAATCGTGAAACACTGAAAGCACTTTATACCTGAAAATCGTGAAACACTGAATGTACTCGACACCTTAAAATCATGAAACACTGAAAGTATTTGACACCTGAAAACCATGAAACACTGAAATCACTTGACATTGATAATCGTGACGCACTCAAAGTATTGATACTTGAAAATCGCGAAATGACACCGAAAATTGTGAAACACGGAAAGTACTTGATACCTAAAAAACGTGGGGCACGGAAAGTACTTGCCACTGAAAATCGAAAAATACTGAAAGTATTTGACACCTTAAAATCGTGAAGTACTGAATGCACTTGACACCTGAAAAGCGTGACGCTCTCAAAGTATTGATACTTGAAAGTGTCAATGTTTCTTAAGTCTAAATACACCAAGCTTTTGCAGTGATAAGTCAAAATAATTCACATTGTGTTGGAGATTTCCAAAATTTACAAACATTATTTTCCAATTAAATGAACCATAGTCTAAAATATTTGAAATTCCTACATAGATCGAATTGGACATTTTAACAGAAATAACCTAAGAGAGGTAAGCTCAAAATTGTATTTTGCTTTTTTGCGTTGCTTTTGTCAATATTTTGTCGTTTTATACGGTTAGAATATTTGTTCTGGAAGCAACAGAGACCTACTACAAACGGAACAATAATCCGAAAAATTATTTCCAATCCCGTCATGTCTTAAAGCCTCAATGGTGTCCCTTAAATAGAGCGAGAAGTGCTGTAAATAATTCCAATACTCAAATGTCTCCATGGGGAAATTGGCTCATTTGAAATTCTTTGCTTTTTTGACGTACATGGAGCGTCAAACATGTATACTTATAAATGTTTGACGCTACATGTTTATATGGATTATGATGTTATATGATTCATTAAATTTGTATTTTATATCCCATATGTTTACATTTTTTAAGAATATATTACATACCGTATATAATACTCTTTCTTCATTTAAAAATAGATTGAAAGGTTACAAAGATATCAATAATACTATAAAAGGGAAATGTGCTCACCTGTTCAATATCATTCCACCAAGCTGTAAAATCATTTTGTTGTATTGCAGTCGTTGTTGATATAAGACTTATCTGAAATAAAAAACAATATGATTCACATGAAATATGAGTTCAAATTACTGAATCAAAAGTAACAAAAGCAAGCCCCCTCCAGACCACCCACTACCCCACTTCTAAAACAAACGAACCAACAACAACACAAACCATTTTGTCACGGGAGACATTTATAATTTTGAATATGAAAGTAAGGCAGAATTGTTGTACACATTGTGGTCGAAATGATATGAGTATTAATCCTGATAAATGTAATGTCATGCACTTTCGAACAGAGTCTATGACGCGATCAGAACTTGAATTTAGATGTGGTGAACATATTATTTCTTATTCTGACAAATATACATATCTGGGATTGTTAATTAACGAGTATTTAGATTTTATTATAACAGCTAAAATGGTGGCTCAGAGCGCTAGTCGTGCCCTCGGTCTACTTATTGCCAAATGCAAAGTTATTGGTGGTCTACCTAATGAGGTTTTTACCAAATTATATGACTCTGTTGTATGGCCGGTTATTGCATACGGAGCTGCTATATGGGGTCATAAAATTATTCCTGTATTGCAGCAGTGCAACATTTTTTCTTGGTGTTGGGAAATACACACCAAGAGCAGCTGTTTCTGGTAATATCGGATGGGTGCCGCCACATGTACGGCAATGGAAGTCATTAGTCAATTTTTGGGACCGTCTCTCATTTACCAATACTACAAGAATAGATAAGCGAATTGCGCTATGGGCCTCCTGTAAGTCAGTCAAATGTAAAAACTGGTATTTTTCGGTACGTAAACAGTTGAATGAGTTAGACCTGTCAATATATAATGATGTATCCATGCCTATATCCAAGAGTGATATTGTTAAAGATGTAGAAGAACGTATGTTTGCTAAGTTTAAAAAAGAGTGGTTAGATAAAATTAATGCACCCACGGGCTCATCAGGTAGAGGCCGGAATAAATTACGGACATATTGTATATTTAAAGAAAAATATTGTGTTGAACCTTTTTGTACAATGATTTTGCCTGTGATCCACAGATCAGCTTTTAGCAAATTTAGATGTGGTGTGGCACCAATTCGTATAGAAACCGGAAGATTTGAAAATCTCCATATGTCCGTTTTGTCATGTGGTAGAGGATGAAACTCATGTAATACTAGAATGTCAGTTATACAATGATTTAAGAAATGTACTTTTTAAACAAGCTGCAGTTGTTGTTCACAATTTTATCAACCTAAATAGTGATGAGAAATTAAAAGTTATATTCAGTAATACTAATGTAATATGAGTTAGTGCCAAAACCTGCTTTCAGATACTACAAAGAAGGAATTTGTTTATGTGTAAATAGGATGTTTTAATCCTGTTATTAAAGTAGTAGAAATGTAACGATAGTAGTGTACATAGTACATAATTTTTAACAGCAATTAGTTTTAAATCTTATAATTGAAGATGTAAAACAGATATTTTTGTTTTATTTTGGTTATGAAGGAAGATTTAACTGTGGCAATGATATAGCAGTACATTGCCACAGTGTATCGACATTGAATATTAAGACATATTGAGTAAAGGCTTGATCTAAATGGTTGATTTTAAGGCTGGGTTTAATGTAGTTTGTTTGTACCCTACAAATTGTATCTACACTGGCACACAAATGTATCATGCTGTAAGGCGATCATCCTAGACAGTCAAATATATTTAACAAACCAATTATTGTTAAAATTATTCCTTATACTGTCATCTAAGGTGTGCAGAATAATGTCCTTTCAAGCACCATGTTCTTCCATGTACTTATTTGGTTATGCATCATGTACAATCTTGTATTTATTGGGACACATACCATGTTCAATCATCTACTTATTGGGTCACACATCATGCACAATTTTGTACCTTGGGTTACACACCATGTTCAATCATGTACTTTTAAGATCACACATTTAGCATAATCATGTACTTATTCGAATATATTAGGTCACACACCTTATACTCCATGATAATTTCCCATTCATTTTGGAACATCATTACTCTTTTACTGCATAATTATAATTATACAGCAATGCTGGGTACATGTATGCTGCACTAAACTTACGCTTTTGTATGAACAGGGTGGCTATTTGGCCTCACTCACATATCAAGTTAATTGCAGTTGTATTGTCACAAATATTCTGGTCATTATTTTTTAAGTATATTGATTTTTCATGAAGGAATAAGCAAAAATGTCTGTTATATATACATGTAACTTTGTTATAAACTAAATTTGTTTTCAGTTATAGAATATAATTTACTAGTATCATCGTGTTTTAAATATCTCCTATAAATCTATCGAGATTGGTCCAACATGTATTTTAGTATGATTGAATATTGTGATGTATTGTATATATGGCATGCTTTGAATGAGACAATAAACTAAATTATTTTTTTTTTAGATTTAAAACCCATTTTACGTCCACAGTAATTAGAACGATAGAATGTAAATTATGCCAAATTTATTTATACGTGTATTTAGTTATACAGGTTTTGTTTTCGACAAAATGCAGGGTATAAAACCCAAAGAGTACGTTATGTAGAGAACATCACAATAAACTTCTTACGAATGGGATATTATTTTAATAACTAACGAAGTTTAAAGCCCATACCAAGTAAAATGTAAAACATTTGATGGAAAAAGTACAAACGGAAAATCACTACAAAATTATGCAAAGCTAAGCTAAATCCCATCGTTTGTTCTTAAAGGTCAAGGTAATTTATTAGTCAAGATCAAGTTAAATATGGTATGTTTAAAGATTTTGTCAAAAGGGCTTTTGTGTTAAAGCATGACGAAAATCCATTTAGAAATTACAAAGTAATGTTAAAGTTTGCGGTTTTACACGTCCATACCACCAGGGACCAAATCATTGTCAAAACATCTCGGATTCTTTCAAGACTGCAGTAGTATCTCGGATTATTTCATGACGACAGTAGAACCTTACATCAAATCGACATAAAAGCTCGGATTTTTCATGACGCCAGTAAAAGCTCCCATTGTTTAATGACGGCAATAAATGCTTGGATTGTCACATGACGGAAGTAAAATCTCGGATTGTTTCATGTAGGCAGTAATATCACGGATTATGTAATGACTGTAGTTATACCTCGATTTATTTCATGATGGCAGTAATATCTCGTACTGTTTTATGACGGCAGCAGTTTCTTGGACTGTTTTATGACGGCAGTACTATACCGGATTTTTTCATGACGATACTATGTCTATGATTATTTAATGACGACAGTAATATGGCGGATTATTTCATGAAATCTCGGTATGTGTCATGACGGTAGTTAAATCTCGGTATGTGTCATGACGGTAGTAAAATCTCGGTATGTGTCATGACGGTAGTAAAATCTCGGTATGTGTCATGACGGTAGTAAAATCTCGGTATGTGTCATGACGGTAGTAAAATCTCGGTATGTGTCATGACGGCAGTAAAATCTCGGTATGTGTCATGACGGTAGTAAAATCTCGGTATGTGTCATGACGGTAGTAAAATCTCGGTATGTGTCATGACGGTAGTAAAATCTCGGTATGTGTCATGACGGTAGTAAAATCTCGGTATGTGTCATGACGGTAGTAAAATCTCGGTATGTGTCATGACGGTAGTAAAATCTCGGTATGTGTCATGACGGTAGTACAATCTCGGTATGTGTCATGACGGTAGTTAAATCTCGGTATGTGTCATGACGGTAGTAAAATCTCGGTATGTGTCATGACGGTAGTACAATCTCGGTAAGTGTCATGACGGTAGTTAAATCTCGGTAAGTGTCATGGCGATAGTAAAATCACGGTATGTGTCATGACGGTAGTTAAATCTCGGTATGTGTCATGACGGTAGTAAAATCTCGGTATGTGTCATGACGGTAGTAAAATCTCGGTATGTGTCATGACGGTAGTAAAATCTCGGTATGTGTCATGACGGCAGTAAAATCTCGGTATGTGTCATGACGGTAGTACAATCTCGGTATGTGTCATGACGGCAGTAAAATCTCGGTATGTGTCATGACGGCAGTAAAATCTCGGTATGTGTCATGACGGTAGTAAAATCTCGGTATGTGTCATGACGGCAGTAAAATCTCGGTATGTGTCATGACGGCAGTAAAAATCTCGGTATGTGTCATGACGGCAGTAAATCTCGGTATGTGTCATGACGGTAGTAAAAATCTCGGTATGTGTCATGACGGCAGTAAAATCTCGGTATGTGTCATGACGGTAGTAAAATCTCGGTATGTGTCATGACGGTAGTAAAATCTCGGTATGTGTCATGACGGGCAGTAAAATCTCGGTATGTGTCATGACGGTAGTAAAATCTCGGTATGTGTCATGACGGTAGTAAAATCTCGGTATGTGTCATGACGGCAGTAAAATCTCGGTATGTGTCATGACGGTAGTTAAATCTCGGTATGTGTCATGACGGCAGTAAAATCTCGGTATGTGTCATGACGGTAGTAAAATCTCGGTATGTGTCATGACGGTAGTAAAATCTCGGTATGTGTCATGACGGCAGTAAAATCTCGGTATGTGTCATGACGGTAGTAAAATCTCGGTATGTGTCATGACGGTAGTTAAATCTCGGTATGTGTCATGACGGTAGTTAAATCTCGGTATGTGTCATGACGGTAGTAAAATCTCGGTATGTGTCATGACGGTAGTTAAATCTCGGTATGTGTCATGACGGCAGTAAAATCTCGGTATGTGTCATGACGGTAGTAAAATCGGTATCATGACGTAGTAAATCTCGTATGTCATGACGGTAGTAAAATCTCGGTATGTGTCATGACGGTAGTTAAATCTCGGTATGTGTCATGACGGTAGTAAAATCTCGGTATGTGTCATGACGGTAGTAAAATCTCGGTATGTGTCATGACGGTAGTAAAATCTCGGTATGTGTCATGACGGTAGTAAAATCTCGGTATGTGTCATGACGGTAGTAAAATCTCGGTATGTGTCATGACGGTAGTAAAATCTCGGTATGTGTCATGACGGTAGTTAAATCTCGGTAT